AAAGACTTTTTCATACCTTTAGTCCATTCTCTCTTACTTTTCAACACAGATGGTGCAAACTTTGTGTGAAGCCCACGATTTGTCTTGGTCCCAAAGTTTTATTCCAAAATTATGTTTTACACTTTTTTGATGAATTCTGTAATATTTTGCCTTTGTTTCTTTACAACAAATTAGGTAAATTAGGTATGGCTAGCACAGATAGCCCACATGTTGCTTTGCACAAAATTCAAAACAAACCAATATCTAAAAAAAATCCTTTTTATTATTAGGCCTACAAATAATGTAAATTTGAGCTTTGTAGCTCAGATTTTTCTAAAGTTGAGTATATCTTGTCAAATGACATTCACTGCATTTCATGCTGTTTGATAAAATTAATATAGATTAATGTAAGCCTTGAAGCTAGTTTTAAGTTTATATCTTGATTATATTAGTGTAACTGGTTTTTCAAAATATTGAGTACTTTTTCTTTTTTTTAAACCAGATTCATGCAGTCAGTTCAAATAACAGTACTAAGGAATGGAATAGCCTGGTTAAAATTGTTTACTTCTCATTTTCACATCACTTGAAAGCTTGTAATTAGTTAACTAAATCTATCATGTATTCAGCAGCTGTCCTGACATTAGAATGTTTAATGGTTAGATGTTAAGCTTCTTGAAATTTTAAAATTGTTTTCCCAAAAATGATTTAGTTGCTTGCTTACTTGTCAAATTTTTCAGCATACATTTTTATAAAAATAAAGTATTCAATAATTTGAAATGTTCAACGTGTAAAGAGTGGATTGATTTATTAGATGAGATCTTATTTTATTTGTATTTCCAGAGATTTGTAGTGTTTCTGTGCCTTATTGACATTGAACAATTAATTTTATTCATTAAAGATATATAAGAACAGAAAATAGAGCATTAAGGGGCCTTTAAAGTAATATTAATGATGACTTATATTATTATCCACTAAAAAATTCACTACCCGAACATCAGTATTACTGAGATAGCTCACAGAATTCTCTCTGCTCAGTTGATTTAGGTGAATCTTACAATATTCTTCATTATTCCCATGGCTCCCTCTATAATTACAACAAATAATGTACAGTTCTTGTATTCATAGGTCCACAGGCAACTTATGAATTTCTTGCTGTTTCAGGCTATTGATCCTAACTACACTGTTTCTTTTTTCCTTAAAAAAACGTAATATGTGTAGCTGTTGGGGTCAGTGTGGCACAGTGGATTCATAGTTGGATAGTTGCTAGTTTGAGGCTGGTGTATGTCATGCTGTTGTGCACATGGGAAAGGTGCCTTACCACAATTGTTTCAGTCTACTCAGCTGTATGATGGGTGTCAGCTGTTATCTGAGGGTTAATCTGCGAAGGACTGCCTTCTGGTCCAGGGGGATTATGTCACCATTCTCATCTGCTTGTGCTACTTAATTCAGAGTTGAGTACTGAATCCTATGTGTCATTTTGGCATGGGAGGGATTTGACCTTGATTTATAGCTATTAATATATATATATATATATTTACACCGAGGCTTTCAGCCAATTTAATAATCAAAACCATCTATACAAGTGCTTATAAAAGTTCCTTCCATTACTGTTTTAGATTCTTAACAAATTCAGCTCTGCTTTCCTTGTATAACTGTTTAAATATAAATAATGATAAAGCTTAATTAAAATTGCACATACACCCCTCACACACACAATTTTTAATAGAAAAAATTGAGTGAAAAAAAAGAAGGATCATCTAACCTATATAAAAGCCAGTGTGTGTCATGTCACACTTGACTTCTTGAAATAGGAGAAGTCATAAAAGCCCAAATGCATTTATCCAGATAGAATAGTTCAATTACTGTCTGCACATGATGATTTGGTGACAGGGGTGCAAGGGGGCTTTGAGGGGTGGGTGAGTGTTGTGAAACCTTATAAGTGTAGTGAGTGTTGGTATAATAACCTAAAGTAAAGATGTAGTGTGGGATAACCTAGCCTAGAGCCAGGTGCATACAATTTTTCATGAAAGTAAAAATATTGATTCAATTTTAACAGTTTATGAATTAAGCTATTTTCTGTTATGTCACCAATATTTTTAATAAAAAAATAAACCTCTTTAATCAATGGAAACTATAAATTAAGAAATCAACAAATATTTTTCAGTTTTGTTGTCTATACATTTCATTTTATACTTTCAATACATAGACTAACAACAGTATTAGATTATACTTTTGTTTCTAAGCAACATGACATAAAAGCCATTGTTGGAACCTAGTGTTACCAAAATGCACTGGCTTTTCTATATATTAGAATTTGTTAATCTTACTGATTTTTACCAATAACTATTCTATGAATACACCACAGATTCATTTCATGTGTGATCTTAATTTTCATTGGCTCACAAAGGAACTTGCCAATGTCTGACTGTCTCGACTGCACTTTTCTGCTTCTTTCTTGGTCAAGCTTGATTTAGCAAAATTTATTTATTTCAGTTACCTATGAAATGTGAGGTTAGGGTATACTGTGGGGTGGGGGTGGTAGTATATGCCTCATCATTTTTGATGGGCTGTATGCTAGTTAGTAATACTCATATGCTATTTATATTTAAAATTGCACTACTAATTAGCAATAACTTTTCTCATGCAAAATTCAAGTTAATATAAATTTGGTTTCACAATTTAATAAAAATATTGTGTGTGTGTGTGTGTTTTGCAGATAGTACTTTGTTCTACTTAGTTCATGGAAGGTTTCAGTGAAGATAGTTATTCATATAATTCTACTTCTGAGTGGAGAAATTAACTTATTTTTGGTATTGGTCATTTATTTATTACTCGTTAAATTCTGTATTCATCCATACCACCTGCACAAATCTATAGAGATATTGAGAACATATTTATAATTTGTAGGCATAGTTATATTCTTACTATTTCTCTCTCTCTTTATATATACACCTGGAAAAAATTTAAGCACCCCCGTGTTTTTTTCAAGTGATTCAGATTTGACGTTCTTGTGACTGATTATAAATTACCATTCAATCTAAACGTGTTTATCAAATGAAATTATGCATTATTGGGCACAAGAAAACAAGA